TATAAACAACCAGGATCATCACTCATTTGTTCATTGAGCAAATATTTATAAAGTCCCCATTCTAAGACAAACCCTGGGCTAGGTGCTGGAGCCTAAGTAATGAACAAGATGAATAGGAGTCCTGCCCTCATGGGACTAATTTCAGACACAGAAATAAAAAGGTGCTTGTCCCGTTAACACTTTCGCTACTTGGTATCGTGAAAAGGTGATTGGTTGATGTGTCTGAGATATAGATAAGGCCTGCCTGAGCATGTTACCTTTAGGAAAGATGATGTGGAACTAGCCGTGTGAATAATGGTAGGAAAGCATTATGGGCAGTGCTGCTAGCATGTGCAAAGGTCCAGGGGCAGAGTTTGTGGTTTAAGAATTGATGAAAGCCCGCTGTGACTGAAGGGGGAAGTAAGTCAAGATGGGACTGGATCCCAAGACTCCGGAGGCCATGGAAAAGAGATTGCATTTTTCCAAACTGTGGTGGGAAGTCATTAAAAGATTTTCAGCAGAGGAATAAAGACATAATCAAGTTCACAAAGTGAGGTCTTAGCTCGAGCAGAGAATTGGGTGGAGCAAGAATGTAAGCTGGAATTGCAGTTAGCAGGGTGTTTCTGGGCCTCAAGTGGGAGATGGTGTTGGCTGGGACTTGGGTGATGATAGGGTATTCAAGACACATTTGGGAAAGAGAATTGGTCAGACTGGCTTTTGGACTCAGCATGGGATGGGAGAGAGTCAGGAGCAAAGATGAACTTTTCGTGCCTGGTTTGAGCCAGTGCAAATCAGTCAACTGTACTTCCACAGCAGGGGATGTGGGTTATCCCTGGTCGGGGAACTAAGATCCCACATGCCATGAGTTTCAGCCAAAAAAAAAAAAAAAAAAGCCAGCCAAGTGTGGCTCGTGGGTGAGATTCAGTCTGGCACCTGTATTTATTTGGTCCATGAGTTAAAAATGGTTTTTACATTTTAAAAGGGGGTAAAAAAAACAAAACAAAAAACAAACCAAATAACGGCAAGAAGAGTATATGACAGAGACCGTAGGTGGCCAAAGGTGACCTGCAGAGCCTAAAATTGGCCAGATGGGCTATTTGGCCCATTGCAGAAAAAAGCTGGCTTTCACTCCTGAATTAGTATATTATGGTACCATTTACTGAGATGTGTAGGGAAAGGAGAGGAATATTTCTTATATTTGTTTGGAAGGTGGTGAAAATCTTATCTGTGATCATTTTCTTAGATGTTTGACTACAGTTCTTAGGTAGGAAAGAAGTGAATTATAATCCCAACTGCATATTTTCCTTGCATACTGAATCAGAGATGTGCATTTTGAAGCTTCTCAAAAGAACCAGGATGACCATTAGCATTATTACCTGAAAAAAGTGAGTGTTAGATGCTCAGTCACATCTGACTCTTTAGCGACTCTATGGACTGTAGCCCACCAGGCTTCTCTGTCCATGGGATTTCCCAGGCAAGAATACTGAAATGAGTAGCCATTCCCTTCTTCAGGGGATCTTCCTGACCCAGGTATCAAACTTGGGTCTCATGCATTGCAGGAAGATTCTTTACCATCTGAGCCACCAGGGAAGCCCCCCATAAATAACTCAGGACATGCTTTTATTAGAAATTTTGCCTGAACAATCTCTACAACGTAAGGATTCAGCTTGTGTGGTAACAACCCACTTTTTATCAGTGAGCATCTGGTTGATCCTTTCTGATTCCACCAAATTCCTTTCTGGCTAAAAATGAACCGATGTTTCTCATTCTATGACAAATATCTGTTTTTCAGCCATGCCAGTGGGAAATCTCTTCCTGCTTTGGGGGGCTTCCAATTAATGGGGACTTGGGGTTTGGACCTTCGCAGCCTACTGCCGGAACTCTCTGGACGGCCAGTGGTACAGTTACGATGACAGCACGGTGGAGCCGCTTCTAGAAGACGAGGTCAATACACGAGGGGCTTACATCTTGTTTTATCAGAAGAGGAACAGCATCCCTCCGTGGTCAGCCAGCAGCTCCATGAGAGGTAGGTACTGCCGCTCCTCCCGGAAGAGGGGGGGACTGGACAAATGCAAGATGCTCAGTCACATCAAGGACCAGGATAGGTCCGGCAAGGGTCTGAAAGAGGAAGCTTTGTCTGCTTTCCTGGTAGCTCAGCTGGTAAAGAATCTGCCTGCTATGCAGGAGACCCTGGTTTGATTCCTGGGTCAGGAAGACCCGCTGGAGAAGGGATAGGCCACTCACTCCAGTATTCTTGGGCTTCTCTGCTGGCTTAGCTGGTAAATAATCTGCTTGCAGTGTGAGAGACCTGGGTTCGATCCCTGGGTTGGGAAGATCCACTGGAGAAGGGAACGGCTACCCACTCCAGTATTCTGGCCTGGAGAATTCCACGGACTGTGTGGGGAGTCCATGACTCAGTCATGACTGAGCGACTTTCACTTTCCAGAGCATGTCCAGCCCTATAGAGCTGTTTCCCGTTTGTAAAGATGTGGGTGGGACACAATGAGATCCAAGAACGGGAAAAGGAATAACATTTTTTTCCTGTGACAGGTGACTCTTGGGAGTGTGGCATTCTATATTTTCTTTCTTGCTCATATGAGCTTGATCTTAATTAACTCATTATTGACTGAGGGATTTTTGCAGAAACTATTGCCATGGCCACCAATTTTTATTTCAGTCAGCCAAAAATTAGTTCTGTTATTTTATTCACACTTTGAGGGTTATGATATTCAATTGTTACATCTGACACAACTGTAGTTTTCTGATTTTCATAAAATGTTGTCTTTCGTTCTCTCTTCTGTAGAAGCAAAGGAGCCTTCTTTAGCATCATGAGTTTCATTTTCACTTTCCATTTTTTGTTGGCCTAATATTTACATTGTTTGACTCAGAACTATATTCTGAAGAACTATCATCTTCTGAGACACTCGTATATATGTCACTTGGACAATCAGCATAGAATTTACTGAAAAATTCTTTTTCACTCAAAATTTTGCAGTGTGTCATTTTTGAAAATTTTAAGTTTAGACTACACACAAGGTTGGAACAAAAACCTAAGGGAGGAAAATGTGCATGATAATGATGTTCATAAGTTGCATAATAAACCCTTGATCAATTTTAAGCTCTAACAAATTCTCAGGGTGATGTTAATTGTATCAGTCTCTACAAATGTATTGATGTGTTGCCAGTCAATAACATTCGGGTAACAAAAGACACATTAATACATCTCAGATCAATAATGTGTTAAGATTGTGTAGTATAGCCCTGCATTAGTCCCATTAGAAAGGGAGAGGTAGTTATAAGGGATGTTGGTCCTTAATAGGAAATAATCGCTTAACCCAACCTGAGAGCTATGTTTATTAAAGACAAAAGTGAAAGTGTAGTTGCTCAGTCATGTCCGACTCTTTGCGACCCCATGGACTGTAGCCCACCAGGTTCCTCTGGGATTCTCTAGGCCAGAATACTGGAGTGGGTTGCCATGCCCTTCTACAGGGGATCTTCCCAACCCAAGGATAGAAGCTGGGTCTCCCACTTTGCAGGCGGATTCTTTACCTTCTGAGCCACCAGGGAAGCTATGGTTCATCAGTTACAGGTTCTCCTCTAGCAATTCACTTTCATTTCTGTAGCTCTGCTTTGGTTCTGTAGTTCCGGGCTCGGGGATGGGAATCTAGCGATGAGAAGTGTTCTGGGGGCCCCGAAGGATGGTCCAGCCCACCCTCTCTGTGTTCCCTCTGCAGGTTCCACCAGCTCCTCCTTGTCTGACCACTGGCTCCTCCGGCTTGGGAGCAGTAACGGCAGCACAAGGGGCAGCCTGTTGTCCTGGAGCTCTGCCCCTGGCCCTGCACGGCCCCGGTTGCCCGAGCCTGCCTTCTGCACCAACAGCCTGCCCAGGCAGGAGAAGGGTATGTTTCATCATGTTGGTTAAATTTGCTGATCTTATTTTCATTTTCTTTTCTTTTTTTTTTAGAATATTTGTCTATTTATTTGGCTGTGTTGGGTCTTGGCTGCGGCACACGGGATCTTTAGTTGCAACATTACAAACTTTTAGTTGGGGCGTGTGGGATCTAGTTCCCTGATCAGGAATGGAATCTGGGCCCTCTGCATTGGGAGTGCAGGTCTTAGCCTCTGGACCACCAGGGAAGTTCCAGTGCATTATACTCTGACTCACCCTATCTGGGCATTTCTTTTCTCTTCACATTTTTTATCTGTGCACATTTTTTTATGACTGCACATTTTAGGGTAGTGTCTGTTGAACAGAAAACAAAAGGCATTCTTTCCCAAGCTTGTCCATTCCCCATTAGCATGAGCCTCTGAAAAGCTCATAAATTCACCCCAGGTCTGTCCAGAGGTTTAGGACCTTGGGCCATTTCTCAGTTCTCCCAAGAAAAAGTGTGTTTCATATAGCTTAAGGAGGCAACTTCAAAAGACAGCCAACTTTCCAACATAGTACGCAGACAGGGGTCAGGCATAGCTCTAGAAAACTCCCCAGAGAGACAGAGAGGGGTGGGGTGGAAGGAGAAATAGTATTGGAGAGTCACTAACCTCCACACCCTTGCAGGCACGTTACGTATCTCATCTCCTCATCCAGCTCTCTGGGAGAAGTGAGATAGTCGCCTTTTTACAAAAGAGAAAGCTGAACCTCAGACATAACCAGTCACAAGCTCAGCTGTAAAGTAGCTAGGCTGCAGGAAGACCTGCTCCTTCTGGCTGCCAGAATCCTGGCTCTGTGGCTCTTAGGTGTGAATTGGTGAATTCCAAATTCAAGTTTCAAGTTAGGACACGGGTCAGAGCCTTGCTTCAAAAGGAATGTTCCCTCTTGGAGTTTGAATATAATGGTGATAGATTTGGAACCTGTTTGAGAAGCCCTGAGATGGTTAAATATCCATCCTTATTTTCCTGTGAGTACTAAGCCTGGAGCAAGATCAAAATCCAGCCCATACATTGAAACATGTATATTATCATATGTGAAATGGATCACCAGTCCAGGTTCGATGCATGAGACAGGGTGCTCGGGGCTGGTGCACTGGGATGACGCAGAGGGATGGGATGGGGAGAGAGGTGGGAGGGGTGTTCAGGATGGGGAACACATGTACACCCGTGATGGATTTATGTCAATTTATGAAAACCACTACAATATTGTAAAGTAATTAGCCTTCAATTAAAATAAATAAATTTATTAAAAAACAAAAATCAAAATCCAGCCCATAGGTTTTCAACAATGGTTGGGCTTCCCTGGTGGGTCAGATGGTAAAGAATCTGCCCGCAATGCAGGAGACTCAGGTTCAGTCCCTGGGTCGGGAAGATCCCTTAGAAGGAAATAGTAACACACTCCAGTTTTTTTGCTTGGAGAATTCCATGGATGGAGGACTTGGTGGGCTACGGTCTATGGGATTGCAGAGTCAGACATGACTGAGGGACTGACTAACAGTTTCACTTAGTACCACCTCCTCTCCCTATGGGTATGTGGGAGAATTTTTTTTACTGTCAAAATGAGTAGAGGGGACAACTGGCATTTAGTTCCTAGGGGGCAAGGGTGCTAAATGTCTTGCAATGCTCAGGGATGGCTCCACGCAGCACAGACTTGTCCTTCCCGAGTGCCAGCAGTTCCCCTGCAGAGAAACACTGATAGCTTGGCAGTTTGATCCTTCCAATAGCTCTGGTTATGGGACCTCATAATAATGAAAGCAATTTAAACAAAAATGAACAGATCCAAATTTATGGGGACCACAACTTATATAATTGGGGATGAACGTTAGGAGAGGCTCTGTTAAAAAGAAAAGGACACAGAAACACTTTACTTGTGTAACTGTGTATATAAACATGACCATGTGAAAAAATTGCTGAGGTCCTTTCAGAGGAGAGGCCCTAGGACTAAAGCATTTCAGTGTCGATGCTCCTGATGGTGAATTTCCTCTATGGCTTTTAATAAGCCTCAAAGGTTTTATTGTCTCTTTTTCAGTGCTTTCCAAATAGTATGTTATTTCAGTTTCGATTTCCTCTTTGATCTTAAGGTTATCAGGGTGTTTCAATTGTTTAAGAGTTTTTAGTCACTTTTTTATTCTTGATATCTGATTTTATGGATCGTGATCCAAGAATGTTGTTTTCAAAAATGATTCCCTTTTTGTGATCAAGTGAGTACATGATGATTATTTTGTCAGTGTTATTTGTTATTTATCAGCGTTCTGTGTACACAGTGTACAAAATAATGTACATTGTCTGTTTGAGGAATGTGAGCTTCATATCTTAAGTATTCAGTTAGGTTAGTCAATTGTTGTATTCAATTTCGCCATGTCCTTTTTTAAAATTGAAGTATAGTTGATTTACAATGTTGTGTTAGCTTCTGGGGCACAGCAGAGTGATTTCCTGGACCTGCCTGCCAATGCAGGAGGCATAACAGACATGGATTTGATCCCTGGGGTGGGAAGATGCCCTGCAGGAGGGCAACCCACTCCAGTATTCTTGCCTGGAGAATCCCATGGACAGAGGAGCCTGGCTGGCTACAGTCCATAGGGTTGCAAAAAGTTGGACACGACTAAGCCACTTATCATACATGCATATATAATATATATATTATATATTCTTGTTCAGATTCTTTTCCCTCACAGGTTACTGCAAAATATTGATATAGTTCCCTGTGCTATATAGTAGGTCCTTGTTGGTTACCTATTTTATATATAGTGAATTTTCATTTAAAAATGTTTTCTAATACTTTCTTTTTTTCTTATTTTTAGTGATTTGATCATGTTGCAATGTGTTCCCTTTTTCTCCTCCTTCACTTGGAAGTGCTGTTCTTTAACATCTTATTGTTACTTCATGCTTCCCAATATTTGTAATCAAATGTATTGTCCTGTTATTATACGGATATGAGAAGCCTGCTGTTTCCTGTGAGTCATCCTGTTTCAGCACTGCCTTCTCTCTTACCCTCATAAGGTGACCTGTATAACGCTTCCATGCCATTCCCCCCATTTGAGAGCTTAGAAATGTTCTCACACGTTCCTTCCGGTCTGTTTCTGGAGCTCCCCCATGTCATTCCCCAGTTCTTAGATTTTGCTGAGATGGTTTCCCACTCTGTTCCAGATTGTCATCAGAATTCCTCTTGCTATCCCTTTCCTGTCCCAAACACACCAACTTAACCTCATGTAACACATCCTAAGACCCCCTGTTCCCTGGGAGGGTGGATGGTACCTGATTGCAGGGTCCACCAGGACACCGCTGGCTGTCTTCATCACCCTCTGTCTTGCGGTCGTGGTGCTGACTTTCAGTGTTTGCTTAGAGTTCTTTTTAGGTATGCGTGATATGCTGTCTAACTCTCAGCAGAGCCGCAAATGTTTTCTTTCCCCGGGAAGTATATGGTAGCTTGGTGGTGAAGGGCTCTGAGGTTACAGTTGTTTTTCTCTCAGGCATCTGTGGACGTTTTCCCACGGTCTATGAGGCCCTAAGGTTGCAGGTGAGAAGTTCTTTTTTTTTCATTTAGAGTCACTTGTTCTTTCTGGCTGGAAGCTTTGACCTTAGAGTTTAGAAATCCTACCAGAATATGCCTGGGTCTGTGTTTGTTCCTCAACCCTGTCTGGAACTCGCAACGCTCCTTCTCCAGGTGCAGGCTTTTCTTTAAGGAAATGCTCTTTTTGTTTAATTATTGTCTTGCCTACTTTTCAAATTCCTGTTATTTGCCTCTTGACTCTCCTACATCCCTCCTCAAAAGTCTCCTAGCTTTGCCCTGCAATTTCTGTCTCTTTGCAATTTTGCTCTGTGGCTTGAAATGCTTCTTTCACAATTATAGAATTTGTGAAATGTACCAAATGTCATAAATTTCAAGATCACTTCAGGGCACTAATCTGAGTCTTAACAGTGACCCTGAATGCCTTCAGTTCATTTACTGAAATTTAAAACCTGAAAGTCACATATTTCAGTCTCCTGTCTTTCTACACTGGAGTCTCATTGACAGCCTTTGTCTGTTTTATTTGATGGCTCAAAAGAGCCTGTTCTGATGGTTCTGTTTATTCATATTCTCTGACCGCCAGACCCCCTTTGTTTGCTGTTTAGTCCCTTCAGTCGTGTCTGAGTCTCTTGCAGCCCCGTGGACTGTAGCCTGCCAGGCCCCTCTCTCTGTGGGATTTCCCAGGCACAAATACCAGAGGAGATTACCATGTCCTTCTCCGGCCAGACCCCTTTAAGTGTGTTTTTACTTTTCTGTTTCTGCACACAGAGGCCTCCCTCCACTCTCTTCTGAGTGGCGGGTGGTTCTTGGAGTGATGGACAGGGCCGGTGGCCTTGGCTCCTGAGAGAGCCTTTCTTTTATTTACTTGTTTATTTTTATTTATATGAACTGTGGTGTTGGAGAAGACTCTTGAGAGTCCCTTGGACTGCAGGGAGATCTAACCAGTCCATCCTGAAGGAGATCAGTCCTGGGTGTTCATTGGAAGGACTGATGCTGAAGCTGAAACTCCAGTACTCTGGCCACCTCATGCGAAGAGTTGACTCATTGGAAAAGACCCTGATGCTGGGAGGGATTGGGGGCAGGAGGAGGAGGGGACGACAGAGGAAGAGATGGCTGGATGGCATCACTGACTCGATGGGCATGAGTTTGAGTAAACTTTTTGGAGCTGGTGATGGACAGGGAGGCCTGGCATGCTGCGATTCATGGGGTCTCAAAGAGTCAGACACGACTGAGCGACTGAATTGAACTGAACTGAACTGAGTCTTCATTGCTGCCCGTGAGCTTTCCTCTAGTTGCAGCGATCAGGGGCTACTCTTCGTTGCGGTGCTGGGACTTCTCTTTTTGGGGAGCACTTGCCCGCCCCCCGCCCACCTTCCCCGAAAGCGAGGTCTTTGGTGAACAGGAAGCGCTGGCTCCCAGTGGGTGCTTTCACGTTTATTTCTCCCCTCCGCCAAAGCTCTGGCTCCTTCTCAGATCCAACAAACAGAATGAAATAAAATCCTGATTGGCAAGGTGCTTTCTCACTGCATCTTGAGAAAGAGGAGCTGGGTGCTTTGTGGACACCTGCGGTTCCCGTGACAGGATGCAGGGTGCCCGCGCCCTCGATTGGGGGCGGGGGAAGGATGGAGAGCGGGCTCCGCTGCCTGCCAGGGCTCCTCCCATTTTGAAAGGCTGAAAGTCACCGCTCTGTGACTCCTAATACAAAGCTTCTCTTTCTGCCCTTACCCCGGGCTGTGGACCAGGAACAAAACCTTCCCACACGTCTCAGCCCCCAGAACGGTTTTATTTATTTATTTTCCCTCCAAGGTGTGGGAATTCAATGATGGAACAACAACATCACTTAGGACTGGAATTACAAAGGATTTGGGAGTGATGTTGTGTCCATCGCTGGCTAATCTAAAGTGCTTTAAAGAAAAATAAAAAATACCAAAGATTATCTGTGGAAAACCTGAAAGGCAAGCTCTCCAGAACCTCGGAGGTGCGGTCAGATGGCTCGTGGGGTTGATGGACTGTCTGTGCACCTCGGCTGGCTTACCTGCTTGTGCGTGTTCCCAGCTGGCGGCTTGGGGACCCCATGTACCTGCTCCTCTGACCTCCTGAGCACCCCCCGCCCCCAGGCCCTCTTCATACAGCTCAGAGGTTGGCATTGGTGGCTGCAGTCCTGCTCATTTTTGGGAGCTGCGGACTGTGCCCTGTGGTGAGAGTGGAGGACTGTGGGCAAGAGGCTGGTGCCCTGGCCCAGGGTGACTGTCCTTGTGCCATGTGGGCTTAGCTGAAGAGTCCTTTCTCAATGGTGACAGGCATCTCATAAATCAAGGCGTCTTAACGGTACAATGACCAATGACTTTTTAACTTCTAAAAATTGTGTTAAACACATATAACAGGGACTTCCCTGGTGGTCCAGTGGTTAGGACTACCAGACTTCACTGTCAAGTTTCCTGGGTTCAATCCCTGGTTGGGAAACTAAGATCCCACAAACCAGGAAAAAACACACACACACACATAACTGGCTTTGCCATCTTGACCATCTGTAAGTGTACAGTTCGGTGGTATTAAGCACATTCACATTGTTGTACGGCCACCAAAAACCACCCCTATAACTCTTCTCATCTTGTAAATCTGAACCCCTGAACCTGTTAAAACACTAATTCCCTGTTCCCTCCTCCCCCAGCCCCTGGCAGCCACCGTTATACTTTCTGTGTCTCTGCTTTTGACTGCTCAGAGTCCGTAGGGTGTAATCATACAGTGTGTGTCTTTCCGGTGACTGGCTATTTGGGGTCCCGTGAGAGTCCATATGAATTTTAGGATGAGTTTTTCTATTTCTGTTTAAAACCTCATGGGTATTTTGATAGGGATTGCATTAAATCCATATATCGCTTTGGGTAACATTGACAATTTTTTTGAAGATTAAAAAAATTTTTTTTTTGTTCTTATTGCTTTTATTTTTTTCTTTTTGCCATGCCATGAGGCATATGGGATCTTAGTTCCCAGACCAGGAATTGAACCTGTGCCCCCTGCCTTGGAAGTGCAGAGTCTTAACCATGGACCACCAGGGAAATCCTGACATTTTAACAATATTAAATCTTCAAATCCATGAACACAAGATCCGTTTTCATTTATTTATGTCATCTTTCATTTCTTTCAGCAATGTTTTTCAGTTTTCAGTGTACAAGTCACCTCCTTGCTTAAGTTAGTGCCTAAGTTTGTTTTTTTTTTACATTGATTGACTATGTCTTCAGGAAAGATACACAGTCTTGGGTATATGTATGTTCCCTTTAGAAATGATGAGAGTAAGGAAAGAATTGAGAAGAAAATAAAAAACACAGAGCACCCCACGGTTCCTTCAACACCTTGTCATTTTAGTATTTATTTCTCTATACTTTGTATGTTTTCATATGTACATATGCACAGATCTATACTTATACCTGTGTATGTATATTTATTTTTGCAAGTTGGATTACTCTTTTTCTAGACTCTGTATCATCCTTAATAGTACATGTCAAAAGAATCTTTCTATGTCACAAAACGCACAATGGAGAATCTGGCAATTCTGATAAAATTAAACACATGATCCTCTTCTTTTCTTCTTTTTTTCTTTAAGCCTAAGGGATATTGGTGCATTTGAAAGGTACAAGCACCTAATTTGACCTGAAAAGGCAGGGATTTTTGCTGAGCATTTTGTTCCATGGCCATATTTAAGATGAATGAAAAGAATCTTAAATCTTAGGCCCTTAGCCTCAGAGACTGAGCTTTCTCGGGAGTCTGCACTGCCTGGCACGTAGCTACCTCTGTTGGCTCTAGCTTGCCCTGTGGCTTCAAGTATGTAAATGGAGCCCACGAAACAGTGAGTGAAAACGTTGATGTTCCCAAGGGCAGGAGCCATAGTCTTATTCACTGCTATGTCCCCAGCACTCAGGATGGTGCCTGATCATCGGAGGTGCTCGGTCAGTGCTTGCTGGATGTGGCTACTCTTACTGCTTGGGTGCTAAGTTGCTTCAGTTGTGTCTGACTTGTTTGCGACCCCATGGACTGTAGCCCGCCAGGCTCCTCTGTCCATGGGATTCTCCAGGCAAGAATACTGGGGTGGGTTGCCATGCCCTTCTCCAGGGGATCTTCCCAACCTAAGGATGGAACATGGGTCTGCCACATTGCAGGCGGATTCTTTACCACCTGAGCCACGAGGGAAGCCCCCACTCTTACTGCAGCTGGAGGGAAAGTCAGGTACTGATGCTCTTGGTGTCTCTTTCAGGAGGCTTGGAGTCCAGACCTTTGGCACGGGGCATCCAAGGCCGCAGTATCAGCATGAAGGTGCCCACACCTTCCCGAGCCAAGCAGGGGGCCTTCAAGACCATGCCCCTCCGCTGGTCTTTTGGCCCCAGGGAGAAACCTCTGGGCACATCCATCGAGCTGGTGGAGTACTTGGAGTCCAGACGGAGACCTCGGTCCACGAGCCAGTCCATCGTGCAGCTGCTGACGGGTCCTGCCGGCGGTCACCAGAAGTCACATGCCACCCTTTCTGTGGACGGTGAAGACAGTAGGCGAACCAGTGACACGGTGCTGGCCACAGCGCCCTGCCCCTCTGGCCATCCTGGCCACTGCATGGTCCCTGGCAACTCAGATGGCTCGAATGCAGCCAGGAAGCTCAAGGAAAACTCAAGTCAGGATATCAGGCTGCCCAAACAGTTTGACTTGCCCCTCACGGTGATGTCCTCAACAGAAGACGATGGGAGACGAGCCCGGCCTGAGGGCCAAAGGACCACAAGCTGTAAGGGAAGTGGCCTAACCAGGAGCAGTGGCCAAGCACCCTCCCCCAAGGAGGGTCCCAATGCTGCAACGTTACCTAGAAAGAGTGCAGACGGTCGCCCAAACAGCTCGGGTAAGATGAGGGCTAATGGGGAGAGAAAGGACCCTGAGACAGACAGATTCCCACAAGGGACCCTCACCCTTCTGAGGTCTGTGTTTTGGAAGAAGGAGATCAGGAAGAGGGACAGGCCAGAGGCAGCCCCCCAGGCGGCCCCCGTCTCCCTGGTGAGCGGCAGGCAGAGCCCGGCTGTGGATGGGGAGGCCCGAGGCTCATCTCCATCCCTCAGGATTCGAGAGAGCCTGGCCAGGGGCCCGGCCGGCCACCTGGAAAGCGAGAGGGACGTCCGGTCAGCGCCCAGCTCTCTGCTCCTCCCTCGCAAGACTGGCAGGCCCCCGAGGGCCAGCGCCCTGGGCACATCCCAGAGGAGTGTCTCCGGGGAGCAGACGTCTTTCGGTACCTTGCCAAAGGTGAAGTACCACACACTGTCCTTACGTCGGAAGAAAACCTTGCCTGAGTCCAGCTTCTGATTTTGCATCCTCGGGGGAGCTGCCATTCTCTCGGCTCTGCACCGAGCACCTGTGGGCGATCTGTGTTGAGACTGGGATTGGAGGAAGCCAGTTGTCTTGTCTTGACCCCTGAAAATAAAAACTTCTGGTCTCTGTGTCTGTATTTCCAGCACCAAACGTCTGAAAAGACCTTCCTGAGTTAGCTGTTTGTATGTTTCCAGACCACCAGAGGGCGCTGGTTGGTCAGTATAACCATTTCAGGGCAAGAACTGCTGTTTTAAGTAATTCCAGGGCCTGCATACTTGTATTAAGGAATGATTCATAAAAATCTTCAGTACCAAATCAAATATTGTCATTGGCTTCTCCTAAACTTTTTTTTTTTAAATAATGGACTTAACAGGAAAATCTTTTCCTCTTGATGTTTCTCTGGGATGAAGCATTAAAGATGCCAAAAAAGAAAGTGGTAGCGACACTAAAGCAGGATTCTAGAATGAATGGGAGAGAAATGACTGAGATTTTAGCAGAGTATTTAATATATAACAATTGTATTAAAGTTTTTCAAGGTATTTAAAAAAGATAACTATTTTGATACTAGGGGGAAAAGGAAGTTCTTGTTTTTTAAAAAAATTGTGAGATCTATGTACAATTTTAATAAAAGTTCATCCATGAAACATGCAAATAGCTCTCTGAATTATTCAAGACAAATGCTCTTGTTTCTGCTGCATAAACTTAGCTCATTGCTTTTTTCCCCCATTTAACCATTTTTTAAAAAATGAAGTATAATTGGACTTCCCTGGCAGTCCAGTGGTTAAGACTCTGCACTTCCAATGCAGGGGGCACAGGTTTGATCCCTGGTCAGGGAACTAAGATCTGCATGCCCCATGGCACAGTAAAAAAAAAAAAAAAAAAGTTGACTTCCAATGTCACGTTCATTTTAGGTGTACAGCACAATGATTCAGTTATAGATAGATGGATCCTTTTTCAGATTCTTTCCCCTTATAGGTTATTAAAAATATTGAGTATAGTTCCTTGCTGGTTATCTAAGCTCATTGCTATTGATATCAGAAAGTCATTGATTGTGTTGTTTCTGAAAATTTTAAGTACTTTTAATTAAAATGACTTGCTGTTTGCTAAGGAAACAGAAGTCTCCCAGGTCTCTCTCTGGAGAACATGTACTTTCAAGGACCAGAGTCTGAGCCTGTCTTGATGGATCATCACCAGGGTCCTTGGACTCCTTGATGATAGAAATTGACGACAGGCCAGAGGAGGAGTTCAGGCAAGGTCTTACCGGGACTTGTGCTACAGCAGGAGGCAGCGAAGGCAAGCAGCAGGTGCCCTTGTTCCCTCCCTGCGGAGGGCAGGCTGGTCCCTTAAATGGGGTGACGGTGGTTGAGTCTGAGGGGCGGCTTGGGTAGTCTGCCCACCCCCTTGGTGGTGCTGTGTGCAGAGATCACGGGCAGGACCCTGCTATTGCTCCCTGCCCCTCAGAAGTGGCAGCTGGGTTTTGGCCTTTCTGCATCTTCTTGTTTATAATTTGGGCCGACTGCCCATATGTGCAGTTATTTTTAGTACCCTGATAGTTTCTTTGTATCTGTTCCTCTGGGACGTTTGTCCAGGTGCAAGCATTGCAAAGGGTCCCAGGTCCCAGCCTGTCTCAAGGTGACTGTCCTCTTGTTTCCTAGAACTTTGCCCACTTTTCAGTAGCTGTTTTCACAAATATTGCCTCACTTATGGGGAAGCTGCTAAACCTGACTGTGATAGAGAAATCCTTTTCCAGATTCCCTTGTAAGTTATTAAAAATATTGAGCATCGTTCCTTGTTGGTTATCTAAGCTCATAGCTATTGATATCAGCAATGATATCAGACAGAGGGCTTGACAGGTGAGGTGACTGGGGAGTGTCTATTTCAACAGTCATTTTCCAGAAATACTTCCTTTTTGTTTAAGACACCCTTCTCAAATTAAGTCTTTCCTCATACACTCAGCATGACTCATTGTCTGTCTCTGCTACTGTTCTTTTTCTTCCCCATAAGAAAGACTATGTAGTTTTGAAAAATTGGAATATAATTACAATATTGCATTCGTTTCAGCTGTACAAGAAGTGAATCAGCTATATGTTTACTTACATCCCCTCCCTCTTGGGCATCCCTGACACCCACCCCTCCACCCCACCCCTCTCGGTCATCACAGAGCTCTGAGCACAGCTCCCTGTGCTACACAGATCATCTGTTTTACTAGCTGTTTTACACATGGTAGCGATTGTCAATCCTAATCTCCCGGTTCATCCCATCCTCCCCTTCCCCTGCTGTGTCCATGTGCCCATTCTCTACCTCTGCCCTGATGAAACAGGTTCATCTGTACCATGTTTCTAGATTACAATAGCCAGGACATGGAAGTCAACCTAAATGTCCATCGACAGATGAATGGACAAAGATGATGTGGAACACATTTACAATTAAATATTACTCAGCCATAGCATCAGAATGAATGAAATTGGGTCATTTGTAGAGACGATGTACTTTTGAGCACCATTTCCAAGACAGAACTGAGATGACAGAGGAAATGAGCAGGGGGGGTCCACTACCTGATACCAGAGAGATATGTATGTTATCAGTGGACCAGAGTGCATTTCAAAAGAAGCCTGTGTTTTCTTCAAGTCTTAATCCACGTGCTCTCAGGTGATGGGGAAGACACAGTTGTCCTCCCAGGTTTCGGGAGTCTAGGAGTCCTCCTGCTGGTTCTTTCTCCTCTGTTGACACTCATTTATCATCTTTCACTCCCAAGCTCTTCCTAAGCCCAGCTTCACTTCCTTTGTCCTCTAAGGGGTTGGGTTGTGACCCACATGTGACCCAGGCTTCTCCCTTTTGAACACCCTTGGATATCATGAGCAGGGCCCAGTTGTTAGCAGTTTTCTCTGTAATACACCACAGATGGGAGCACTTGCCCAAGACTATAGATTTGGAATAGGAAGAGGAAATTATACTTGGACCCTGTGCTTATATCTGCCATGCCACATCTTCAGCAAAGATGCCCAAGTTCCCTTGTATCATTTTCCCATCTAGAGGGACCTGGTAGGGAAGGCTGGGAGAACAGGGCATGGGAAAGGATTGGGTCAGATTTCTGCCCAGATTGGAGGCCGAGACTATCGGAAACAGCAGGACCACCCTCAGTTCTGTCATTGGTGAAATGGATTTTTCAGCTGTTCCAGTGACTCAGTGTTGGTGTGAAGACTAAATGGAATTTTTGGCGAGGGGAGTGGGGGTGCTGCTCATTGGAGATGGTGAACCACATGCAATTTTGTGGACTTGTTATGGCTCTGCTCTACAGAGAACCCCACGAACAGTATGAAAAGGCAAAAAGATAGGACACTGAAAGATGAACTCCCCAGGCTGGCAGGTGCCCAATACGCTACTGGAGATCAGCGGAGAAATAACTCCAGAAAGAATGACGAGACGGAGCCAAAGCAAAAACAACATCCAGTTGTGAATGTGACTGGTGATAGAAGCAAAGTCCAATGCTGTAAAGCAATATTGCACAGGAACCTGGAATGTTAAGTCCATGAATCAAGGCAAATTGGAAGTGGTCAAATAGAAGATTGCAAGACTGAATGTTGACATTTTAGAATGAGAGAACTAAAATGGACTGGAATGGGTGAGTTTAACTCAGATGAACACTGTATCTACTACTGTGGGCAAGAATCCCTTAGAAAAAATGGAGTAGCCATCATAGTCAACAAGAGAGTCCGAAATGCGGTACTTGGATGCAATCTAAAAAACAACAGAATGATCTCTGTTCGTTTCCAAGGCAAACCGTTCAATATCACGGTAATCCAAGTCTATACCCCGACCAGTGATGCTGAAGAAGCTGAAGTTGAACGGTTCTATGAAGACCTACAGGACCTTCTAGAACTAACACCTAAAAAAGATGTCCTTTTCATTATAGGGGACTAGAATGCAAAAGTAGGAAGTCAAGAAACACCTGGAGTAACAGGCAAATTTGGCCTTGGAGTACAGAATGAAACAGGGCAAAGGCTAATAGAGTTCTGCCAAGAGAACAAACTGGTTGTAGCAAACACCCTCTTCCAACAACAGAAGAGAAGACTCTACACATGGATATCACCAGATGGTCAATACCAAAATCATATTGATTATATTCTTTGCAGCCAAAGATGGAAAAGCTCTATGCAGCCAGCAAAAACAAGACTAGGAGCTGACTGTGGCTCAGATCATGAACTCCTTATTGCCAAATTCAGATTTAAATTGAAGAAAGTAGG